AAAACTAGTCAACAGCTTGCTAAAGGAGACCCAAAAAAAACCACTGAAGAAAATAATGCCTTAAAAAATAGCCTAATCCAAATGGCAGAAGAGGTCCAAAAAGCCAATGAGGAGAAGAATGCCTTCAAAAGCAGAATTGGCCAAATGGAAAAAGAAGTCCAAAAGTTCACTGAAGAAAATACTTCCTTAAAAATTAGAATGGAACAATTGGAAGCTAGTGAGTTTATGAGAAATCAAGATGTAGAACAAAACCTAAAGAGTAAATAAATAGAAGACAATGTGAAATATCTCATTGGAAAAACAACTGACCTGGAAAATAGATCCAGGAGAGAGAATTTAAAAATTATTGGACTATCTGAAAGCCATGACTAAAAAAAAAGGGCCTAGATGTCATCTTTCAAGAAATTATCAAGGAAAACTGCCATGATATTCTAGAACTGGAGGGTAAAATAGAAATTGAAAGAATCCACTAATCACCTCCTGAAAGAGGTCCCCAAAGAAAAACTCTTTAGGAATATTGTAGCCAAATTCCAGAGTTCCCAGGTCAAGGAGAAAATATTGCAAGCAGCCAGAAACACACAATTCAAATATTGTAGAAACACAATCAGGATAACATAGGACTTAGCAGCTTCTACATTAAGGGACCAGAGGTCTTGGAATATGATATTCTGGAGGGCAAAGGAGATAGGATTACAGCCAAGAATCACCTACCCAGCAAAACTGAGTATAATCCTTCAAGGGGAAAATGGACATTCAGTGAAATACAGGACTTTCAAACATTCTTGATGAAAAGGCCAGAGCTGAACAGAAAATTTGGCTTTCAAATACAAGATTCAAGAGAAGCATGAAGAGGTAAACAGGAAAGAGAAATCATGAGGGACTTATTAAGGTTGAACTGTTTAAGTTCCTACATGGAAAGATGATATTTATAACTCATGAGACCTTTGCCACTATTAGAGTAGTTGGAGGGAAAAAAATTATATGTATAGATAGATTGAAAGAGGGCACAGGGTGAGTTGAAGATGAATGGGTGATAACTGGAGAATAAAATTCAGGGGTAAGAGAGGATTATACTGGGAGAAGGGGAAAGGGAGAGGTAGAATGAGGTAAATGATCTCACATAAAACAGACAAGAAAAGACTTTTACAGTGGAGGGGAAGTGGGGGAAGGTGAGAGGGAATGAGTGAATCTTATTCTCATAGGATTTGGCTTAAGGAGGGAATAACATACACACTCAGTTGGATATGGAAAGCTATCTTACCCTACAGGAAAATAGGGGGGAAGGGGATAAGAGAGTGGGGGGGGATGAAAGAGGGGAGGGCAGATTCGGGGAGAAGGCAATGAGAAGCAAACACTTCTGAGGAGGGACAGGGTTAAAAGAGAGAATGAATAAATGGGGGCCAGGATAGGATGAAGGGAAATATACTTAGTTTTTCACAACATGACTACTATGGAAGTGTTTTGCATGATTACACAAGTATAACCTGTATTGAGTTGCTTAACTTCTCAATGAGGGTGGGTGGGGAGGGAGGGAGGGAGCAAATTTGGAACCCAAAGTTTTAAAAACAAATGTTAAAAAATTGTTTTCACATGCAACTGGGAAATAAGATATACAGGCAATGGGGTATAGAAATCTATCCTGCCCTACATGAAAATAGAAGAGTAAGTAAATAAGAGAAGAGGGGTGAGATAAAAGGGAGGGCAGATTAGGGGAAAGGGTGTTCAGAATGCATGCTGTCTTGGGGTGGGGGAGGGAGTAGATGTGGAGAAAATTTGGAACTCAAAATCTTGTGGAAGTGAATGTTGAAAACTAAAAATAAATTAACGAATCTAAAAAAAAAAAGAAAACCGCAGTCAACATTATCTATGTTTTATTATATCTTCATTTATTTTGTTAAATATTTCTGAATTATATGTGTATGTTTCTCAATTTAATGCCTTGCTGCAGCAATGGGTTAATTGGACACCTTTGCTCTAAATATAGCCCTCTCAATAAGTCGTCATAAGGCCTTTGCTTGAAGACTTCAGTGAGAGAACCTACCAACTCTAACTGATATCTCTTTTTGTGTTTTGTTTTAATGGTTACTGTAGGTAGTATGGAGAAAAAACTATCAGACTGTGTGTTTGGCCAAACTACCTCCCATTGTGCTATAGATTGAATAATAAAACATGACTCAGCTACCTCCATCCTTCTGAGGCAATGACTCTTTACTCCTCCCTCACTCTTGAGCTATCTTCAACCCACAAATGTTGCACCCAATATTCAACATGAACATTCCAGGCCAGCTTTCCTATATGGACAGACTATATGCCATTGGTCTATTCAAGCAGCACAGAATGCTGCTGATTGGCTATATAATCTAAACAGGCTTGGAAAAGCTGTCTAAATTGTACCTTAGGAAGCTGAGGCTGCTACCAGCCAGAACAATCTTCCTTAGCATGCTAATAAAGATTTCTCTTTTCAATTTTGCCCCTCAAGTTGTTTGATTACCAGTCAGGGGATCCTGCTGATGGGTGAAATTTTCCCTGGGCTAAGAACCCAGGCTGAGAAAAGTCCTACAAAAGTAGCTTTTCCTTTGGCCTGTATTAATCCACTTTGCAGTCTCAAGGAACAGAAACACAGCTGTATTTTCCCTTAGTTCCCTCCCTCTGTGATTACCCCCATTTATCCAGTATATATATTGTTTGTGCTTTACTATTGTTTGCATGTTTTCTCCCTCAATATACCGTGGGCTCCTTGAGATCACGGACTGTTTTTATTTTGGGGGTGGGGCATTTCTTTGCATCCCCAGTGCTTAGCACAATGCTTGACACCTAGCAGACACTTAAATGCTAGTTAACCGACTGACTCTAAACTAACAACAAGGCTTATTAATAGCATATAAGCCACCAGTGGATACTTACTTGTACAAAAAGAATACAGGGGGACCTCTCATCTATCTGTGGGTCTCAATGTTAGTCTGATTACAGGAAATGAGGCCTCACACCAGCATGATACAGGAAATTGCCAATCCATACTATAAAACATTCAACCTGACCCTAAGCTGTTAGTGTTGTGTGGATTTATGCTGAGGTCTAAAATAGTTTTTTTTTTAAAAATAGTATTTTATCCCCCCCTCCCAATTACAGGTCAAAACAATTTTAAACATTCATTTCTTAAAATTTTGAGTTCCAAATTCTTTCCCTCCTTTCTCCTTCCCGTCCCTTAATCCTCCCTGAAAAGGTAAGCAATCTGACATAGGTTATACATGTGCAATTATGTAAAACACTTCCGTAGTAGTCATTTTGTGAAAGAAAACTCAAACAAAAACAACAAAAAGAACGAAAGTGAAAAATAATATGATTTGGTCTGCATTCATCATCCAATATTTCTGTTGTTGTATACCTGTTTCTGTTTACTTCATTTTGCATCTTTTCAAATAGAAAGAGGGCTGCTAAAAACTACATAAAATCCCTGCTAGTCTATGCTGACCAAGTTTTTAAATCTTTCCAGGTTTTTCTGAAATCATCTTGCTCATAATTTCTTACAGCACAATAGTATTCCATCACAATCATATACCACAACTTGTTCAGCCATTCCCCAACTAATAGACATCCCCTCAATTTCTCCTCCTCCTCCTCCTTCTTCATGCTCAGGGTTAAGTGACTTGCCCAGGGTTACATAGCTAGTAAGTGTCTGAGGCTGAATTTCAACTCAGACCCTCCTGACTTCAGGGCTAGTATTCTATCCACTTCACCACCTAATTGCCCCTTGCATCCACTCAATTCCCAATTCTTTTCCACCACAAAAAAGAGCTAATAAAACATTTTTCTACAAATAGGTCCTTTTGATAAAAGTTTTTAGAGCCTTTTTGCACAATGCTTGGCACACAGAAGATGCTTAATAAATGTTAATCGAATTGAATCAGATAAGACCACAAGTACTTCTGAACCCACCACCCATGGATAGGATAGGTAAGGATAAACATCAGATGGCAGGGTTTCCTTTTTGTCAGAGCTTACACTCAAGTATTCATCAATCATTCTAGCTGATTGTGTCTAGTGTACTCCTCCTCTTCCATCCAGGGCAGGAATTCTTAAGTGTGTGTGTGTGTGTGGTGTGTGTGTGTGTGTGTGTGTGTGCCAAACACCCCTTTGGCAGTTTGGTGGAGCCTCTGGACCCCTTCTCAGAAGAATATTTATGAATAATTGAAGGAAATATTAAATTTCAGTTAGAGATTAGTGAAAATAAATTAAATTACAGGTTAAGAACACCTGCTTTAGGGGATGGGGTCTAGTTTCACCAGCCTATATTTGCATTTTTGTAACTTTCACCAATTTTTCTCTGTTCTTCCCTCAGGGGCCTACTAGAAATTTAAGTCTTTTTTCACATGAAAGCCTTTCAAATACTTGAAGACAGCTATCATGCCCCTTTTTAAGTTTTCTCTCCTCTAAGCTAAACATCTTTAGCTCTTTCAAGAAACAAAGGTCATAGGAGGTCTAGGATTTGCAGCTGGAAGGGATCTGAGAGAATATTAATCCAACCTCCAAGTTTGTAGCTAAGGAATCTGAGGCACAGTCAGGTGAAATGATTGCTCAGGGTCGCATAACTAAACTAAGTCTCAGACCAAGATTTTCCAACTCAAAATCCAGTATTCCTCCCATCACACTATGAGTTAAATGAAGTAAATCCACTTATTGAAAACCATATTGTTTTCATGAGACTAGGCAAGAATCTTTAGTTTCTAAACTGAGCTCTGTGATAAAAGGTAATTTTTGCTTAAAGCCAAGGGCAGAAACTGGAAGCTGTGGTTGCCAAGTCTGACCACTAATTCCCTTGTCTATGTCTCTCCCTTCAGAAATTTTCCTTTCTGGGTTTTGATGTTTTTGGCTTGTATTTATATTTCCTGCAGGGGAAGTGATGTTCAGAGTTAGTGACTTTCCTAAGAGAAACACATTTTTTATGTCATCTGGTGGAAACAGGTATCTCCATGTGCACCGATGTATCAATTTTTCCCTCTATGCCCCATTTACCTGAAGGATACACTGTGGAATCTTCAGCCCATGGACCTAGCAGTTCAGCCCTGGATGAGGAGCAGACCCATCTGTACTCCATTAACTTTAATATCACCACAGCTGGTAATGTATTTCCTGATGCAGCAGCTAAAGCTGAAAGATGGAAGCATAAGGTCATTGGAACAAAAAAAAAACTGGCTGAACTCAAAAGCGAGATAGGTTGTCTAAGGACCCACATCATTGAGTGTTGTGTGTGTGTGTGTAACAGATACAAATATCAAAACATCCCTTTGTATGACGTTTTGTCTTATGTCAAATCCATTCCTGTGGCACACACATATTGCTTCATGAGACAGGGTGAAATTCAGGACAGCAGTGGTTCTTTGTGAGTCAGATGCATTTAGATGTTGAGGGGAGAACAAGGGTTATTGGTCTATTAAGATGATCAGGTCATGCAGGGTTAGCCTCCCCTCAAATCCTTCTTGCTCTAAAGCAGGGGTTTTTTTAAAACTTTTTTTTTGAGGGGGTCATTAACCCTTTCGGCAGTCCAAGGGGACCTATGGATCCTTTCAAAATATTTTTAGATATTTCAAATAAAATACATAGTTACACAGGAAACTATTTATTCTGATCGGTCATCAAAATGAAAAAACAATCATAGACCTCCCAGATTAAACACCCCATTAGAGTCTAAAGAGAAGGATACTATGAGTTAGACACACTTTTCAACGGAAGTTCTCTTCTAGAAATTAAAAATACTTTCTTTTTTAACTGAGGAGATAGTGAAGGCTAAAGTCACCCCCTAATCTCTGCTACCAAGGGCCCTGGTTTTAGATAACATATTCCCTGCATCTTGGGGAGAAACCAATGTTACCTCCTCACTCTAGAGGTACTAGATGAGATACTTAGGTTGATTTCTGAAGCTGGCTCTAATGGTTTTAGTATGATACACGCTCTATACATGATTGTCTTTTATCACCAGATTAGGGATAGGGAACAGAGACTAGACCTGTAATTTTATCAGTACAGGGAAATTCCAGGTGAGGGACCTCCCTTTAGCAAAGCAGGGTGCCATCTTCTTTGCAACTTATAATTTAAGAGAGCTGCCTAGAGCACTGAGAGGTGAATGTGAAGGGTCCAGGATTACTTAGAAAGACAGTATGTGTCTTGGGCAGAATTTGAACCCAGGTCTTCCTGGCTTTGAGGCTGATTCTTCCTACACAAAAGTGCACTGAGGTAGAATAGCTAATTCTGGGATTTAGTCTCATATTTATCTATCTCAGAGTATTAATGTTTCTTGTTACAAATGGGAAATATTAGAAATAGAAGTGTTAATTATTAGGAATCACCTTAAAATAAGGTAACTATGGATGAAATTGGCATGTGGATATTTTTTAAATGATTTTTTAATTATTTTTATGTCTACTTGACTCTTCAGTGTCTGTACAGGTAGACCAAGACTGTCTTCTCCTGCTATACTTACTCAATGAAGAATCTTATAATGGCAATATGGAAAACATTTCCCAAAGACAAAATTCTCTGTCTCATGGCCTACAGATTAGATAAGAATGAAACCAAGGAAATAAACTGCTCTAATGAGAGGATAACCTGGGAATCTAGACCTGATCAGAATCTTGCCCTTCAGATAGACCAAGTGACCATTGAAGATGATGGTTATTACACGTGCATTGTTGTAACACCTGATGGGAATTTCCAGTCTGGCCATCAGCTCAGTGTATTAGGTAAGGAACAGTTTCTGTTAGTCTGTTATTGATAAATAGATCCAGGAAAAAAATGACAAGTAGCCATTTCAATCTACCACCCCTCTCTTATGCTAAGAAAAAAAAATATATATATATATATATATTCCATCTCATCCTCTGCAGTGCCTCCTGAGATATCCTTGTCTGTGGATGGGAACAGGACTGCCACTTGTGAAGCTTCTGCTGGGAAGCTGGCTGCCCAGATCTCTTGGGTCCCAGAGGGATATTGCTTCAGTGTGAATGAAACTCATGGCAGCAGGACAGTGACTGTGAAAAGTATATGTCACTGGAATGGACTCAATGAAACTAAGGTGACCTGCTCCATTTCCCATTTGACTGGGAACAAGTCCGTCCATAGAACTTCTACCCAGTTGTAAGTAGCTCTTCTCTCTTATAGTTCTTGCTTTGATCCTCAATATTTTATCCCAGAAGGAAGACAATAAGGAAAAGCCTTGGGCAGATCAGAGAATTTAATAACTTGTCATTCCATGATTATCCTAAAACACACATAAGAAACTCTAAGACATTTTGCCTATGTCTGAAATATGAAATGACTCTCCTCCCTCCCTCTACTCCAGTCTGTTTTAAGAGAATGTTCTGATTTCTCCACCCACCCCCAGCCCTAGTGGAGCACTGGTTAAATGCTATACATTTTCTGTCTTATTTTCACATTTTTTTTCTTCATGGAAATATTTGTAATTGTGCTTTAAGGGAAATTTTACCATAAGAGCCTAAAAATTATGAATAATAATAATCACTAGCATTTATATAGCACTCACTATAGGCCAGAATTATTATCTCATTTGATTCTTACAACCATCCTGAAGGTAGGTGCTATTATTATCTCTATTATTATTCCTTTCATCTCTGATCACCTTATATGTTTCTTGGATCTCTTATATGAATGATATTATCTAAAATAAGAGGAACATCCTATATACTAGAATTGTGACTGTATCAGGAGACATTAAAAACATCCTTGTGTTCATATTTCAAGGTATCAACCATTTCACAACATTGTCACTCTACATCAGCCTCTGTGTTCTCTTGAGCATAATGACCATCATGGGATTCATCCTTATTTGGAAGGCTTTTTGCCACAGGTTGGTTGTTTAATATGGATTATGGGCCCCCAAATGATCTATTACTCTGGAAAATTAATAGTTGTCAAGTCTGTCATCTAGAGGAGGTTAGGTTTTCCCAAGTCCTGGTGACATAGACCTACTGGTGGAAACCCACTTGCCTGCTTTTCCAGATTGACCATATGACTCCTGTTCATAGTGAACCATTTATTGATTGGAATACAAACAGCTGAGTTTCTCAATTCTCCCCTCATTTTGAGATTTCATTAACTCTTATTTACTTTAGTTAGGCAAAGGAAAAGGAATGTTGGAGCTTTACAATAATTGTTGTTGTTGTTCAGTTGTTCAGTTTTGTCTGGCTTTGTGACCCCATGGACTTGGGTTTTCTTGGCAAAGTTACTGGACTGCTTTGCCACTTTGTTCTCCAGTGTGTCCCATTTTACAGATGAGGAACTGAGGCCAAATAGAGGTGAAATGTTTCAGTGGTGTGATCGTTTTTACTTTCTGCATAGGGAACATTTTAAAAAAACTTTCTTCTGCAAGGACAACATCCAGAGACAATGGAAGAAATGAGTAATCATAAAATCTTGGGAGGGACATTTTTTAGAGGTCACCTGGATCGGCCTCCCACCCAAAGCCACAATCTTCCTCCAAGCATCCCTGGCAGATAGTGTTCTAGCCTCTTCTCGAGCACTTCCAGTGACATGGAGCTCATTATTTTTGAAATTTAGCATGCTGGGCACTCCCCTCAGAACAGCTACCCCAAGTTTGATGCACCCAGAACATCTGCATTTGTTCAAAATGACAGCTTGCAAGCATCTACTGATTTGTTTAATTTTTCTCTCTAATCAGTCACAGGACACAATATTTCAAATCAAAAGCATTTAATAAAATAACATAGTAAGAAGACTTACAGTAGAACCTTTTCTTCATAAGTCTAGAGTGCATTTTCCCCAAAATATACATGTCATCAGTGGGGATAATGAGCATGCATAAAGATCATATGATGTGTGAAAAAAGAATATTTCTCTCATATTTCACAACTAATTATTGTATTAGGACCAAAGTTTTTCCTCTTTTCTACTTCCTTATTCAGAAACCAATCAGTGTGGGAAATCTCTCTTAGAAATTTACCCAGGCCAAGATCTAATCAGACAGCAAAAAAATTCTAATTTTAGGCCAATGGGTGCATTCCTGCTCATTGTGTTTGCTCAGACAAGTCTGGGGAAAGGTTGAGATTTCCTATTATCAAGACAGGTGATATGGAAATTGTGTCTCTTTGACTAAGAATTGAGTGACTTAAATTGAGTGACATACCCCAAGAGAGCCCACCTTCCATTGTGTTAATCAATTAGAGTTGAGTAGGCACCCCTCGGGAACACCTCCTCTTCTGAGGGCATATAAACTGTGACCCCACTAGCATTAGGAGTCTTTGGTCTGAGAGAGATGGCCAAATGACCATCCTTTTATTAATAACCTGCTGGCCTTATTAATAAAATGATTAAATTACCCAGAAACTATGTCCCTCAAACCTTTTTAAACATCACACATGTATGAAGGGTCCACACATGAGGAATATGTATGGAGGAACAATTCATACTCCCAATGCTACAGGATTCCTAATGTCTTTGAGTGATATCACCATTCTGCTTTTACTGTGCCTGGTCTCATCTGTCTCTTGGGCCTTGCCACTACCTTCTGGGCTCATTTTTTTCAGGTCTAGCCAAGACATCTCAGATTTAGTCTTGTAGGTCATAGTGTCTAGAACCCTGACATAAAGGCCCAAAGGCCCTACCCTGTGCAAACTAGTTAGTTTTTCCTTAACAGATATTGAAACCATCCTTGGGCCAGGGGATTAACACTCAAACCATACATGTAGCTTCCTGGTGTCTTAAGAACAAAAGCCAATACACAAGAAGTCAGGAGCTCCTCACCCAGGCTTCTGATCAGTAGACCAGCATGGGAGAGTAAGGGAAGCTGTCCTTCTTTAGCTGAGGAAATCTCCTTTTGCTAACTCTTAGATGATTTACAAGTGTCTTATTTTGTTCCAATCTGCCCCTTAAAAGTTGACCAGAAAGTTGACCAGATTCAGGCCTAACCTACAGTAGGTGGACTGATAGGTCTTCAGTGTTGACTACCCAACTAACAAAAATCAGGCAGCATGTTGCCAGGCTAAAATTACATCTTTCCTTTTCCTTTTTTAATCTCTGGGATCTCCAAGCTGTCTATTAAAAATAACTTTCTAGTTTAGACTAAGATGCTCAGACGTTCCCAAGGTAATCGCTGGTTTAGCATCCAAAGGAATTTTAATCAGGATAAAAGGTAGGCTAAAGAATCCAGGTCGCTGGTCTCTACTCATATAGTCTACATTCCTGTATTTATCAGACATGTCTTCCACTGGCAAAGCCCTATTGTGTTAATGCTATTATTTTTGTCAAAACAATAAAAAACCTCATGCTGCTCATTCCATTTTTGAATGGTAAAAAGTTCTTGCTTTTATTTCACTGCTTTCCTGAATGTAGAGTGTTACCCTCTATTATTATCATCACGACTATCTGCAATACCAATGAAGAAATGGGTTTTGTATTCTCCCCTCTTTAAATCACTTTTCATTGTCTTTTTTTTTTTTGGCAGAAACTGTGAGTCCCAAAGGACAAGGTCTACTCCAAATGTTAATATGGTAAGATAAAGAGAGGGATGATTGTTGTCAAAATCAGAGTGTGTGCCTTCTAGGTTTTTGTCAATTTGGGCTGTGATTTAGTGTTTGTGCAACATTATTGCCCTGGCTGACACTGCCTGAAGGCCAGTCCCTCCTGCAGGATTCTCCAATACCCCTGACCCCCAAGGGGATTCAGGGTCACCCAGTCTCTGTTATTGGTTCCAGCAGATTGTACTCCCTCAATTTTAGAGGGTTCCCTGCTTTCCAGTTCCATTTATCTTGGCAGCTAGTTGGAACAATAGATAGAGCACTGGGCCTGGAGTCAGGAAGAACTGAGTTTAAATCCAACCTCAGCCAATTAATAGCTGTATGACACTGGGCAAGTCATTAAAACTATTTGCGTCAACTTCCTCAAGTGTTAAATGAAGATAATAAGTAGGTGCTATATAAAAGCAAGATATTATTTAACCATTTAATTTAAGTCACATTAGCTTTTACAATGGAATATTTACTTCATTGGTATAATAAGAACAAATATACAAACATCCCTCCAACACATGGGAGGCATAATTCCCTTCCTACACTGCCTCTGTCTCTGGGGAGGGCAGGAGGTCAGTTCATGGTATAACTCAGTTCCTACGCAGCGTTGTCTCAAAAAATTCCAAATGTAAAACCCTTCTTGGGTTTGAATACTAGGATCTCTGGTTTCTCAGGGCTTCTGAATGTCCTGATAGCATCATGTAACTTGGAGTCTTGTTTCCAAGGTTGTTATGATTTGGATCTGGGATCTCCATGTCTTAGAACTGAAAAGAACAAATAAAAGACCATACCAAAACCCCAAGCCCATTTCTTTTTTTAAAATTTTATTGATTTATTTTGATTTTTCAATAATCACTTCCATATGCTTTTGAGTTAAAAATTTTTCTTCCCCTTCCTCCCTACCACCCTCCCCAAGACAATGCACAATCTGATATAGGCTATACATTTACATTCCTATTAAACATTTTTTCACATTAGTGGTGTTATAAGTAAAAATTAAAACCAATAGGAGGAACTATCAGAAAGAGGAAACAAAACTCAACTGAAGAGAAAAAAATAGCAATTCAACTTTCATAGTTCTTTCTTTGGATGTGGATAGCATTTTCCATCAAGAGGCCTCTGGAGATTTCTTGGATCCTTGTATTGCTGGGAAGGGTTAAGTTTATCAATATTAGTCATCACACAACATGACTGTTACTGTGTATAATGTTCTCTTGGTTCTGCTCATTTCACTCAGCATCAGACCAAACAACTCTTTCCAGGTTTTTCTGAAGTCAGCCTGTTCATCATTTCTTATAGCACAAGAGTATTCCATCACATTCATATACCACAACTTGCTCAGCCATTCCCCGATTTATGGGCATCCTCTCAATTTCCAATTCTTTGCCACCACAAAAAGAGCTGCCAAGTCCATTTCTTAAGGCCACAGGGGTTAAAAGGGTGGAAGGAAAGGTTGGGGAAAGTAATCCTTTGCTTCACTCAGCTCAATTCAGGCTGCTTGTGCTGTGAGTGAACAGGACTTTCACCTCACCTTGAACACTGTCAGAAAGAGAGAAATTCTCACAGTCTGGTAGTTTTAAAGACACAGCTTATTCCAACTACATGGTCAATAGGGAGAGGCTGTTGCCATCCACATGGTAGGAGAACAAATAAGGTCATCTTCTAGAAGCATATCCATGGTGTCTCCCAGTGGGTACCTCCATGTTAGGCAGAGGGTTATGCAGTGTGGGCATTAACAAAGTAATGTACTGTTATGCTTATTTCTTATGGGGTTAAGTTGCACGAGGCCAATATTTTGCCAGATGATAATAAGCCTGAGTCCTTTATTCAAGACTGAAGCTTGGGATCTACAGTGTCCATAAGGGGCAGCAACACTGACAAAACACTTTCCCTCTCAGATAGAGCTACATTTGCCTAAAATGCAAGGTTCTCTTTGTACAAAATCATACCTATGTAACTTTTGGCTGACCAGTCTTACATTTGTCTACATAGCAATTATTTGAAGAAAGGGAAACTTGAGAGAGGGAGGTCACTGATCAGTCATTGGAAAGGGGGGCTTTGAATATTTGATATGATTTCTTGTTTCTCATGATCATGTTTTTTCCTTTGATTTACCTGGATGGAAGGAAGAGGAACCTTATGCAAATTACATGAAGATTGTATACTGTGGAAATGAAAGTAAAAATTGACTTTGAGGATACCACATGAAGACCTGAATCCTGATCACTCTTTCTTTAATCCTGTCAGCTAACTGAACAAGGATTTGGGGAGGAAAGAGTGGTATTGACAGTAATATTTCCAAATTGTCCAGAATTCTCCTTCCTACCTCCTTGCACCTCCCTAAGCAGAGTGATGTAATTTTGAATTCATTCCACTGTGCATTATTTGCTTCATGGACTCTGAGTGGTAGAGAATTTGTGATAATTAACTGGCATCTTTCTTGAGTATCTAAAGTGGAACCCTAAAGCTTATAGTATTAATCAGTGTTTGTTGTGCATTTAATCATTTAACATTCTGCTTGTGCTCTGGCTAACCAATATGTACAGTAATTAAATTTTGATAGCTCATATCTTAGGGTTTGGGGGCTAGCTTTTTTTTTCTCTTCCCTACTTATTTATTCTATCTTTTTTTTTTTAACTGGGATAATTGACTTTTTTGTCCCATGTAGTTTCATTTATGGTTTCTTGAAATAGAGCCTTATAAAACCAGGCTTTGATAAAACCCATTGGGATTCAAATGGAACTACTTGACCATGCCTTAAACCTAAATCACTCTGGCTCTCACTGATTGGCCAATAACAGGTCACAGCTTAAGCTTCACTTAGTCATTGTTTGCATTCTGATGGCTAAGAGCAAGCTAAATAGCAACTGTTTCTGCTCTGGCCAGAAACACTGAGGGTCTTCTCCTTTCAAGTTTTTTTTTTCTTGAGTAGGTAAACTAGGTCATCTTTTGCCTCATTTCTTACCTAGCCTTAAATCACTAAATGGGTGTTACCTCAGGCAAACTGAGACCTTGCAAAGATCTTAGCTTAAAAATGTCAAGGTCTCCCACTGTAACTGAGGTCATCTCCAGTCCTCCTGACCTATGTTTTGCTACTGGATGCTGGAGGAGAAAGTGAGGCTGATGACTTTGCACAGCCCTGCTTCACTTAAATTCAATTCACTCAAAAGTCATGAAATCACCTTCCCTGATATCATAGTCCTCTTCAAGAATGAAGGACAAACAATAACAATAACAATGACAGATCATAGTTATCTTTCCTTGTTTTGACCATGCTAGGCAGGAACACCTCAGAAAGCAATTTTATCAGTTTTTGAGGGTGGCCAAAGCATTTTGTACTTTGAGATACATTAGAATACAAAAGTCATCTGCAACCATTCACAAGTCTGCCTAGGGTACAAACAACTATAAAGATCTTTTTTTTTTTTAGCATCTTTGTGGAATTATATCAGAGAAGTCATGGGTCATGTTTACTGTAAATATTTTTTCCTTTTAGACTAAATACATGTTTGAACTCTTCCACTGAATAGTTCAAGGATTATTCATATTTTCTTTCTATGTCTAGTATGTATATATGTATATCGTTCATTCTTTCTAGGGTTTTCATCTTCTGCTATTCTGAGGAAGGTTTTTTTTTTTCTCTTCAAAATGACCTTCCTAAGGATTCTGTCAGGTTTGGTTGCAATATTATCAGTTTCTCCTGTGGGAATACCTTTTTACCAACATTTAGTTTTTGAACTGTGGGCTATAATTATGCTGGGGTAGCTGGAGTTTTTCCCCAGGGCACCAAATTTTAGAAGGTGCTGACAACACTTGTCTCTATCAGCATATAGAAATGACTTAGCTTAATATCTAGTAAATAAACACAATCATTTTTAAAAGGAAAGGAGCTAGACAGTAAGAGAAATTGATGTTATACTATTATGTTAACTAATTATTAATTTGTGATCCACCCTTTTCTGCCTATTTCTGTTAAGACCCAATTCCTGAAAAGGTCAATCAGGGTGTGGCTGAGTGATGAGATTACTTCAAACCCTGAATGCCACCCCCCACACACACACATGCTTGTTAACAAGAGAACCTTTTATCTTCCAGTCCTGTGATCTTCAGGATCAGTTGGCCAGACCCATAGGCACTACCCAAGAATTAGTATAAATGAACATCTTCTCTGCCTGATCCTTCAAGGATCTTTCGAATGCTAGCTATAGGGTTTAGCTCCCTGGAAGGACTTGCCAGGACCCCAATTCTGTAGGGTCTTCTCTATTACCAGATTAGTGGCTACTAAAATCCAGTTGTGTATTCCTCTTTCAAAGGGAATAGAGTCATTGTCAAATCAGGCAAATTGGTGTTCATTAGGAGGCAGATCTGTACAGGTGTGGGTCTCTTGGGCCATCAGAAGAGGCAGTTATAAGGTTTGGACTAGAAGCCTCAGCTTCTGGTGAGATTACCATTAATACAATTTTAATTTATTTTCAGGGCCACATTTTCTACCTCCTACCTCTTCCCCCCCCTTTTTTTTGGCTAGGCATTGGGGTTAAGTGACTTGCCCAGGGTCACACAGCTAGGAAGTGTTATGTGTCTGAGGCCACATTTGAACTCAGGTCCTCCTGAATTCAGGGCTGGTGCTCTATCCACTATGCCACCTAGCTGCCCCTCTTTTTTTTTTTAGGCAATTGGGGTTAAGTGACTTGCCCAGGGTCACACAGCTAGTAAGTGTCAAGTGTTTGGTCTGAGGCCGGATTTGAACTCAGGTCCTCCTGACTTCAGGGCTGATGCTCAATCCACTGTGCCACCTAGCTTCCCCAATCTTGATTCTGTTTTTTTTAACTAGGCAACGGGGTTAAGTGACTTGCCCAGGGTCACACAGCTAGTAAGTGTTATGTGGCAGCTATTGAGACAGCAAGAAAAACAAAACCTGTGTTGCAAAATGTATTGTCAAGCAAGATAAATTCCCATTTTACCACCCATTTGTAAGAGGCATTAACACAGGAGAGACCTGATAAAGTGTGATTTTGATGCACCACATCCATTTAGCAAAAAAGGCCTCTTGTGTTCTGCCCATCTTGTTAGAAGGACCAGCTTGCATCAACCAACTCATAATAGATAGCTCTGGAGAAAAGGCAATTTTCTGACCCATCATCTGTTCAGTAGCAACTATGGTTCACATACAGGCAAGCAACTGATTTTCAAGAGTGCTGTAATAAGTAGCTGCTTTGGGGAGCTTGGAGCTCCAGAAACTTGTTGGTTGTTTATTCTGGCTACTTCATGGTACCCACTAAAGGCTCCACTCAACCTTGTCTTTATGGACAGAGACTTTCAGAAACATTGGCCTTGCAGGATCATAAGGGCCCAAGAGGAGAGACTGTTGGACAGTCTGCTTTATATTTTCCAGGGTTGTAGTCTGTTCTGTCTGCCTCTCCCTTTAAAAGGAGCAGACAAAAGTGTGACTCGGTAAATGGGCTCCATCAGGTTACCCAAGTGGGGGACGTGGGCTCTCTAAAACCTGCAGCTCTACTTGATCTCAACTCCACAGATCAAGATGTGCCTCTCGGGGATAAGCTTATCTCTAAAACTCAGCACCTTCCCACCTCCCACACCATTCTGATTGGAGGACTGGAGAGAAGAGCATTTAACTCCACCCAAAGCCTTCCTTTATAGAGGGCAGAACCTGGACTTTGCAGCCCACTACATTTTTCCATCTGCAGCTCAACCTCTGCTGGTCTCAGATCCATGGAATGAGATGCCCTTGTGTTGAGTACTCCCTTGAGTCCTTCTCCCCTTCTCTCCCTTTCCAGTTTCCTTTTTTGTGTTGTCTTCTCCCAATAGAATGTAAGCTCCCTGAGGATAGGGATTGTCTTTCTTTTTCTTATTTGCATCCCCAGCATTTTGCACAGTGCCTGGCACATAGTAGGTACTTAATAAATGTTAATTGTGTTGTGTTGTATTGTATTCTCTTGGGTTCCTTCTTAGATTGTGAGGAAATCAGTATCATATTCTGGACTATGCCCGAATCCATATTTGACTGAGTGAGCTGGACACTAAATTTTCTTAGGGCTAATTTCCCACCCCTTATCTTTCACATAGGCCTTTGTGTAGGCTTTGAGAGAAATGATTATTTCTCTCTCTAATTAATAATAAATTATTGTATTAGGACCAGGATTTTTTTCAGAAGCTTGGAGGTTGTTTAGTCTCTGAATGACATTGCTGATAATGAGATTTAATTAACTTTCTTAACAATTTTAAGTCACCCCAACCAGGTGGGGAAGCCCATTGTGTTCTACTCAGGTCTGGGTGAAGGTAAATTCTTTGATTAAATTGCCCAAGGCTGGGGGTAATTTAGAAGTAAATGACTAGCTCCTAGCACCTCATTTAGGTCTACCTCTCTATTATAATAATCATTCTCTCTCATTACTTATTAACCAATCAAAGTTGACTACCACCCTCAGGAACACCCACCCTCCCAAGGGCATATAAGGGTTGAGTGGTTTCCATGAGGGGTCTTTGGCATTTGAGACTGTCACTGACCCCTTTCATTAATTATATACTAGCATTATTAATAAAATGATTAATTACTCAGAAATAATGTCTCTTGAATTTTTTAGACACCATAGCTTCTACTACTCTGACCTCATCTGGCACAGTCAAGATAATTTCATCAAAGTAGTATGCAGTCAATGTAGTGATATACATCAATATGCTCAGGAAGGAAGGCTTCTTTCAGGTCTTTGACCACTATGATGTGGCAGTATGAGGGAGAGTTAAGGTAGCTCTGGGGGAAGGACAGTAAAGGTATACTGGACTCCTTCCCAGGTGAAAGCAAGCTATTTCTGACTAGTCTCATCCAATACTCTTCTCATAACATTAAACTGAGTGATTTGCTCAGGTTTAGACAGTTAAAGTCAGAAGCAAGATTCAAACTCAGGTATCTCCTAACTTAAGGATAGGAACTTTTGGTGTCAAACTCAAATAGAAATGGATCCCTCTGGGCTGCATATTAACTTAGAAAACCACAAATTATCATTATCAAGGTTGTGTTTTTATTTATTTTTAAAAAATTTCTTGATTACATTTTAATCTGATTGTAGTTGGATTTGTTGCAGGCAGTGTGTTTGATACCTTTGTTCAATTGATTGGGAACCTAGATGACAGAGTAAAGGTAGGATATCACCTGAACCCTCCCAAATGCCCC